GCCCACCCTGCCCTGCTGCCCACCCTGCCCTGCTGCTGACAGCTGCAGCTCGCCTGGCCTGGTCCACACCACAGTCCCCTTTGCCGGCTCCTCCACACCCCAGCCCCCAGGGTGCGCCTGTCCACTGCCCTCAGGCCTCTGCAGCTCTCAGGTCTCCTCTGCCCTGAGGCCACCACTGCCCCAGGCGTCCACTGTCCTCAAGCCTGGCCTCCATCTCCAGCTGGGCTGCCTCACCGCCTCCTGCCCCTCGCAGAGGAGCTCTCCTCTTCTCCTCCTGCCCGCCCCTCCTCCCTGTCCTCCTGTTTCCGCTGCAGCTTTGGTCTTTCTGCTTCCCTGTGCACCTGGAACTGACTCCTGGCCTTACCTGCCTAGGGCCACACCTGCGGAGGCCTCCTGCCCCCGCCGTSCCCTGCTGCCGCCCGTCCCACAGTGACAGAACCCTGGATAGCCTCCGCCCCTCCATCCCACCTTGTCCACCTGAATCTGACATCCCCACAAGCTGCTCTCTCCACCACCCRTGCCCAGGAGCCTCTGCCACTGGCCACCGCACTCCTCTTTGCCCAAGCAGCACTGTCCCTTCTCCCTCCCTCGGGGACCCACCCCGCAGGGCCTGGCCAGACCTGGCCTCTCTGAGGCCGCTCCATCCACATGCTTTAACCCAGAGGCTCTCTCCCTCTGTGCGGCCTGACTAGATCTGGTTTCCCACGGGACCAGCTTGAGGTCACCCTCTTATTGTGCGCAGGCCCAGGAGGCCCGGAGCAGGCAGCGCTGYGGGTTGGTGGACGGGGACCGCCGCAGCCGGCTGAGCCGCCCGGTGTTTTCCAGGACTCAAGGGCACCCTTCTGGCAGCAGGTGGCAAAGGGGAGACCGCGAGGCAGCACTGGGGTGTGAGGCCTGGCAGCAGCCAGCAGAGGACTGCCCCCAGGGTCCTGCCCCTGCCCTGCTCAGGCTCCCTGCTCTGCACAGGCCCCTCACCTGGCCCGACAGTGCGGGTGCCAGCCGGCCTGCACTGCTGGACAGAGAAGTTCCTGCCCAGTGCTKGTGGGACTCCCGGGCCAGAACGTAGGTGCTCATGGCCTGGCCCCTGCCAGCCCTCGAGGTCTGGGGTCCATGGGGGGTGACTCACAGATGCCTCGCAGAGCCGGTAGAAGTCCACGCTCAGGTAGGCTCTGATGCCGTCCAGGGCCCCAGGGAGGGTGATACCGCGCAGGAGCAGGGCGGTGAGGACCACGTAAGGCATGGTGGCTGTGATCCACACAACCTGAAGGAGAGCAGGTGACACTGGACTGCCCAGGCCACTGGGAGGGGCCCTGGTACAGCAGGTGCCGGCAGGAGAGCCGCACAGGGTCACCTAAGTGGGAGTGCTAGGAGGTGGCCTCTGAGGGCYGCCTGGTGTCCTGCGCACCACACGATGCAGCCCAGGGAAGCTCACTGAGTGGACTGCAGCTTGCCTCTGTCCTGTGTGTGTTCCAGGCCAGAGTGCAGCGGGCAGGAGTGGCTGGGCTCCCGCAGGGTGAGGGGCACACCAGCTGACCTTGCTGGGGAGTGAGAGGACTGCTGTCCCGAGGGAGGGCTGCGTGTGCCTCCCACAGTGCAGTGACTGCTGTGTGAGAACTGCTCTGGGTGCCCATGTCCCTCTACAGCACTTTCATAGGAGAGAGAGAGAGAGAGAAGGGGGGAGCGCCAAYGCCCCCTGCACTTGTCTTCACTCTGGAAACCTCCTGCTGTGGGTGATTCCCTCCCGTGTCCTTCCCCAAACACAGCAAGTATCTCCTCAACCCCACAGGGCCACTTGTCCACTTCTGCACATGGACAGACACTTGTCCATGCTGACTCAGCTAGGGCATGTGTCCCGCCCCTGGCCGTGCGTCATCCTGACCTGACCACCATCCTGTGTCCACGCCTGGTGGCAGGGCCCAGCACTCACCTTCCCCGAGGTCTTCACCCCCTTCCACAGGCTGAAGTAGAGCAGGACAATGACCAGGACCAGGCAGAGTGTRAGCTGCCACCGTGGAGGGCCCAGATCGTCGATGCCACGGCTCTCGTGGAGATGCAGCACGCCGCGCCTGGAGGGGCACAGGGGCTCAGAGGGCAGCCACCACACCCCGCCCTGGGCCGCTGGCCAGAGACCTGCCCTCCCTGCTCAGCAGGGACACAGCAGTCACACGCAGGGAGAAGCTGGGGACCCGACCAGGCACGGGATCTGACCCACCAGAAAGCCGCTCTGGAAGGTCCAGCCTACCAGCCCGTCCCYGAGGCTTCTGGACACCCGGCCCTCACCGCCGGCCCTTGGCACCCTGCTGTCTGGAGTGGGGAGGAAATGGGTTCCCTGGGTCTGTGAGGAGGGAACCCCAGGAACCAGAGGGAGGCTGCTGCCTGAGATGGCCCCAGGCTTCCTGAAGGCAGAGCTCTGAGCCATAACAGGCTCCTGACCCCTCCCACTGCCCGGCTGCCTCAAGGAGGCTCCTCAGGGACGGACTTGGGATGACTCTGCTCTGGGCTCCATCAGGGTCCCCATGTGGCTCCTGTCCCCAAAGGGCAGAGTGTCAGGTAACAAGGAGAGGGAGTGGGGCGGAGCCAGGCTCCAGTCCTGGACACTAAGTCCTGGTGACAACCTGCGGGAATCTGCAGGAAAGGCGGGACAGAAACGAGAAATGTGAACTGAAACCAGGATGAGACCAGTGAGGTCCACGTCCACCGTGGGGAAAGACTGAGTCGGCACAGACACTGCGCTCTCCGGGGAGGAGACGGGACGTCRGCTCGGCCTGGGGTCCGACAGTGGATTCCTAGACACACGTGGAACCTAGACAAGTCTGCMGGTATCAGGTGTAAAGACGTCTGTACGTCCCAGGAGTCCATCAGCGAGGGAGAGGGACTGTGGAAGGGGGAAGACGCGCCCAACTCCCCGCCGCACGAGGGAGTGGCAGCCAGAAGGAAGGACTCCCAGGACCAACAGCACGGGCACAGCCCTCCATGTAGGGTGGGCTCTGGCTGGCGCTCCTCCTCGCAGGCACGCCACGGCCAACCGGCACGTGGACAGACACTGAGTGCGCCAGTCACTAGGGACGCGCAAACCCGGACTATGAGACGCTCCACTGCCCACACGGATGGAGGTCATCTGAGCCAAGAAACAGGCAGAAAAGAAGTGTGGTCCAGCGTGGAGAAGCTGAGAACCGTGGGCACTGCCGGGTGTGAGGGCCGCGCTTCGAGGCCAAGCTCAGGCTGTGCCCCAGGACGCTGGCATCGCGTCTGGGCACACACTCAAAGGGAAGGAAAGCAGGGTTCACACTCCACATGCACCCACATTCCCATGGGTCCGCAGCAGCTGGAGAGCCCCAGCTGACCAGGGTCCAGGCAGCTGCAGGATGTCATCAAGACCAAGAGCCATCTGGGCTGAAAATGAAGTCAAGCCCTGGCACTGGGTGGACACTGAAGGTGTACCCCAAGAGGAGTAGGTCAGAGCAAAAGACCCCCCGATCCATGGCCCGGACGTCCCGGGGTCATTGGAGTCATCAGCTGGTACCTGTAATGTGGGGGCCAGGCCTGGGGGGACGGCAGTTGAGTCTAATGGGGACAGAATTCCGGTTTGGGAAGCCGAACACGGTGGAGATGAGTGGTGGCGATGGCCTCCCACTGTGCGAACGCGCTCAGTGCGCCACCGGCCTGCGCGTAAACGGGAAAGCGCTGGATTCATGTGCAGTTTGCTACCTGGGAGCCCCCGAGAAGGAAGAGCACGCTCAGGCGGCCAGCGAGTCACTGGCACCGTGCTCATGGGGGTGCCTCACGTGGGGGRCAGTGGGCCAGAAGGAGACTCCCCTCGAAGACGAGGCCAGGTGCTGGCAGGCGGGAGGGCAGGACGGATCTGCGGGCCGTCATTAGAGCACACCCCGGCCAGGACAGTCGGCAGCACAGTGTGGAGAGGACCTTGACATGGCCACACAGACTGGGAGGAGGGAGCAGGCTGCGGGGCTGTACGGAGCCGTGGAGCCACGCGACGTGAACGTCACCTGGCCACGAGGCACCTGGCCACGAAGCACGAGGGGCTGGAGCCTGGTCACCCGCAGTGCGGATGAGGGGAAGCCTCAGAGCTGATTGACCCCAGAGGAGAGGGGACACCAACTGAAGAAATAGCCAGAGAGAGACTTCCACCCCACCATACTGATGACGATCACAGGCAGACTGTCACACCGGACACGAGCGGGAAGAGACTATGCTGTGGACCAGAAGCCCACTCTGAGTGAAGGACACACAGGTCAAATGCCAGAGCGGGAACAGGTCACGACATGGCCACCACTCCTGATGGCGGGGTGGCCGTATTCATGCCAGAAAAGCAACTTCAGGAGGAGGTGACCCGAAGGGTGAGCACGGTGGCCAGGGGGTCAACCAAAGGCCGACACTCACGCACACACCTGCCTTCATCCTGGGGCCTCCGGACGCAGTGCAGCCAAGAGAGCATGAAGAGGAAAGGCAAGCCCACCACTGCAGGGAGTCCCAGCACCTTCCCAGGACCTGGCCAGCGGAGGACAGCAACTCCCTGCCGACACCGCGACCGAGCAGCACCGAGCACACCAACCAGCACACCGTTCGTTCCCTTGACACCACCCCCGACAGCAGAAAGCATGCTCTTTCTTTTGAGATGGGTCTTACTGTGTGGCCTGGCTGGCCTTGAACACCCAGCCCCTGGGACCCTCACTCCGTAGGATCCAAACACCACTAAGTTGCTGAGGCTGACCTTAAACTAGTGATCCTCCTGCCTCAGCCTCCTGAGGTGCTGGGATTAGAYGCGCACCAGCCTGGCCGGGCCACCATGCGTTAAAAACCCATTCTTTTTAGATGCGTCTTCCACCAAGCTACCAGAGTAGAGGGTACATACAGAGCATTTCCCAGATGCACCACACAGCCGGCCGTGAACAAGCCTCAGTAAATTTTAAAAGATCAAACTTTTACACACGTCATTTTGTCAAAATGAAATTAAATTAGAAATTGATAACAGAAACATCTAGGAAACCTCCAAATACTTCAAAGTTAAACAATCAACTTCTAAGAATATTCCATTAGTCAAAGTCAAAATCATAAGTGAGATTAAGAAATACCTTCCCATGAATGGAAATGAAAATACATCTCCAACTTTGTAAGATGTAGCTAAACTGGTCCCTTAGAGGAAAATTCATAGCTCTAAGTACAGGACTTTCTACTCTGTGTTAGAAAGTGGGTGAAGGCAGACTTAGCAAGTGCCCGTGGCAGTGAGGGGCATTCAAAAACGCCTGGAGCCTCGTGAGTCCGTCCCGCAGGCCACACTTTCCGGGCTCAGGCTTCTTGCTTGCCGCGCTAACTGACCCGCAGTCCTCAGATCCATGGAGAGGCGCAATTCACACAGCACAGGGAGGCTGACTGCTATGGGTGGGTGGCCACCTGCAGGACGCACACTCATTACTGTCACCACCTTGGCCTTTCTTTGCCCTACAGTGTGACCTGGGCTCCTGACCCGGGGCCTGTAGGAGCCTGCTTCTCCTTCATGGTGAGCTCATTATAAAGGGGGTCTGAACTCCAGACCCCTGCAGACCTGTGCATGGAGGTCGCTGGGCCTGATGCTTCAGGGGAGTGAAGCCCAGGAGCATTCGGGAGGCACAGCGGGCACCTCGGTGCCAGGAGAGAATCCTCAGCACTCAGGGCTGTGGGTCCTCCTGCTTCCCCTCTGCCCGGCTGCCTCCAATGACAGTGGCCAGACCTTCCTGGAGCACAGAGCTTCATCGCCTCTCCATCTGTCTCCGATAGTCTGATTTCTGAAACATGCATATTCCTTCCTCCATTCATCACAAATCCCTGAATTCTCTGCCCGACCTTCTTATCTGAAAATCACGCAGATGAACTGACACCCCACACCTCCCGAGAGGTGACAGAGAGGTGACACTTCTGCAACCTTCCCATGTACTCCAAAGTACACTGACGTCCACCTGAAACTTGGGACAGGTGCTGGCTTGGCACCTGTCACCGTACCCAGGCCTCATGCCCCCCTGCATCCTCCAGGGCCACCCAGCTGTCCTGCAGATCCTGTGCAACCACAGCCCAGGGTAAAACTCTTGCTGGAAACAGGGTCGGGGAAGGACCACCAGTGGCCCAGTGTGGCTCCCCACAGCGAGCTTTCTCATGCGCACACACATCTGGTTCCAGAGGGTCCAGGRGAGAGGTGGACCTATGCAGAGGTCACAGCCCTTCCAGGCAAGGCCACCTGGTGATGGAGAAGGGGACGAAAGAGTGGGTACAGGATTGAAGGACTCAGAGAAAAACAGATTCCAGGAGAGGGGCTGGCCTGAAGATGGCCTGCAGAGGGTCAGGCCTGGTAAGCGGATGGCAGGAGGAGACAGAAGGCCAGGAGGAGCCTGCAGGGCACCGGGTGGGCTGGGGCAGCAGAGGAAGGGGCCTCTAGACAGGGAGGAACCCAGTGAAGACAATAAAGTTGTGTTTGTAAAAAGAGAAAAGCTCACGAAAGTGGGCTGCAGCTAGTGCACACCCCCTGGATGACCCCAAGGGCCAGGCTGCACTGCCCAGGAGCCCCTCTGCTGGAGAGAGTGGAGCCTGCATGCACCAGCATGGYGGACGTGCAGGGAGGGGCGGCCAGAACACAGGCTGAGCGCACTTCCCCTCAGCACCCGGGAGGCTCCTTCCCCACGGGGAAGCGGGATGGATAGTGAGGGGCTCTTCTACCAGAGCTGCTGAGCTGCCGGACCCCTGTGGGATTCAGAAGCTCCCTCCACCAGGAAGTGGAGCAGCAGGTCAATGGCAGCTCCAGACAGGGCAGAGGGTCCCCTCCACACCTTGGGAGCAGCAGGGCAGGGTGCTGGGTGCCCTCGGGGCTGCCCTGGGGGCCAGCCCTGCCACCTRGCCACTCTGCAGGCCTGTAGGAGCTGAACTTCCACTTACTCAAAGTACTCGGCGGCGGGTGTGGTCCAGAAGGTGTCGTTGGGGCCCGGGCTGGCGCTGGTGTTGGCGGTGCGGGCGTCGGAGCAGTTGGGGCTGTTCCAGGAGTTGTTGCAGTGCACCCAGGGCAGCTCCGTGGAGAAGGAGGAGAAGAGGTAGTGCAGCGCCCAGGCGATGATGACGTTGTAGAAGAAGCCCACGTAGAGCGAGATGAGGATGACCGTGAAGCCCACGCCTGGCGGGCGACACACGGCCGTCGGCAGGGGCCCTGGCACCCCTCGAGCWGGCGGGCCTCTGGCCTCACAGTGCCAGGTGACACCCAGGGAGGCTCATGGAGGGSCTGGCCAGGCCTCGGGGTGTGACTTTAGGGAAGGGCCCTCTCCTCTAGCCAGAGACATCAGGAGGTCTCTAAGGGCCACCCAGGGTACATGAGACCACCCTGGTACCCGCAGGGACCCTTAGGGCTAGCTAAGGACACCCAGCATCTGGGGCCACTCTAGATCATCCAGGGCCACCTAGGCACATCAAGGTCACCCACAGCCACACAGGGCAAGTGGGGACCATCCATTGCCATCACAGCCACTCAGGCTCATCCAGGGACATGTGGGGGCTACTCTGGGTCACCCAAGAGAACATAACCCAGGGTTATAAGGGGCGACTCTGTCTACATAAAACTGTCACCATCATCTAAGTCACTCATGGCCACAGTACCAYCCTGGGCCATCTTGAGATGCCCATGCCAATTAGGCCATCAAAGGTCACCCACGAATGCTCAGTGTCATCAGAGGACAATTGGGGTCCTCCATGACCATCCATAGCAACCCAGGCCCAAGGACCACTAAGGGCACCCAGCACGCTCCATGATTAACCAGGGACACCGTAGTCACAGGGTGGCTTGCAGCCATCTGTGCTCATCCTTGCCCATGAGGTTACCCAGACATACCCAAGGCCACCTGTGGCCACCCACAGGCACCCATACCTTTCCCTGAGACTACCCAGGGTAAGCAGGGTCATCTGGGGCTATTTGCCATCACCCAGGCCAGGCCTGACCATCCGGTCTCCCAGGTTCATGTATGACCATCCAGGCCTCCTAGGACCTCACGGGGCCACATGAGGTCATCAAGCACCACCACGGAATGTTAGGACCATGGGGAGTTTCCTAGGATCACCCAGGGCCATGCATGAAGATCTGAGGCCACCCAGAGACAGACAGGCCTGTCACACGCTCTTTCCAGGATCACAGAATCTAGAATTTGGGATCCTCCACTTGGTGGGGGTTCCTGGTGAGGTAAGCAGAGCTCAGTTGTGAGCAGTCCACAGAATGGGGTCAACCTGATGGTGGGCAGGTGTTCTGGTGGCTGGAAGGCCTCTGCATGGGTCAAGGGCTGGTCCTAAAGGATGCTGGACAAGCCAGTTGTGTTCTTGCCAGTCTGGCTGGCTCCCCGTGCTCCTCGGCTTTCCTTCTCAGCACTGTGCACATGGTGGGCGGGTCTGCAACTTTAATTGAGGTCMTGAAAACCTGTGGGGTGCCTGTCTGATGGCTTGCAGGGGAGGGCCTACCTTCGGGGTGCCTTTTTCAGGGAATGGCGTGGGGTTCTTCCCATGGTTACACACTCGGGGAGGTTGCTCTCCTGATAAGGCACCATGTTCAAGTTCTCTTCCTATCCCATCAGCAAAGATCCAGGAAGTGTAACTTATTGTTTTAAACCAGGATCAGGAATGCAGATAACCCCCTTGGGAAGTGTGCTCAGAGCAGTCAGACAAAACCTGAATGTCCACTTAGGAAGGCTTCTCCAGAGTGGAACTGGTCAGTGACGAGTCATTTACACACAGCTCTGTCCCCTGAGCTCTGTAGAAAGGCTGGGTTCTGCTAGAGAAGACGGCCCAGGCAGCCATGTTGGGCAGCTGTGTTGCCAGGAAGCCAAGATGTTCCAAAAGGCACCTGCAGCTGGCTTTTCAATGTTTTCATGGTTAAAACTTTGAATCCCAAGTCCTCAGCTTGGAACCCGAGGAACTCAAAGGAGCTCTGATCACACACTAAGGTGCATCCAAGTCTGCTGTGCCAAGGGAGGGCTGACTTTGTCCTGGGTCATTCCAGGGCCACTGCTGTGTGGGAGAGTTCTGGGCTTCACAGCAGAGGGGCAGGAGCACCCCCCTTCACAGGAGAGGAACAAATCAGCTCACCAAGCAAATGGGCTTGTGTGGTCAGCAACACAGCACACGGGAGGGCCTTGTCCAGCAGCCCAGGTGCCTGGGGAGAAAACGGCTGCCCAGGAGGGTGGTTGCAAGTGTTGACTGCTCCTCTGGTCACACTGAGCTCTGCACATCAAGAAGGCAGACTGGGCCCCTGACAGGCAGCCTCACCAGCCCAGGAACCTCGCTGCAGCTCTTCCTTAATGCCATGGAAGACCCAGCCATGGGGAAGCCACGTGCCCCACTGCAGCCACATCCGGGTGCTGTGTGAGGAGGACAGCACAGTGAGGCTCCACTTAGTGCCAATGGTTTCCGTCTCCCCTGAGCCGGGGGCAGTCCTCCTCTGGAGGAACGGAGAAGCCAGGGCGCTTCCTTTGCTGGGCACTCAGTGACAGACATGGATGCCAGTCTCAGCTCTCACTACCAATTTTCTTAGACTTCTATTTTCTTAGTATTTCTTCATGTTAACCTTGTGTGTATTCTGTTGTTTCCTTTGAGCCACTTTGAATTCTTTTTCAGAACGAGGATGAGTTTGATCAGTCACACTAAAACATTACCGACTGCAAAACGCGATGATCCTTTTACGTGCAATACAACAAGGTGATTTCCCACAGCACAGTCTGTCCTTGGCACTAAGCACRTAACCTGAAAGGGGGCTTCCCGCTAACCCGGGCAAGGAGTCCCCAGGAGAGCCATGGGCACCTTTCCCCACCCACAGGAACCAGCGCTCCTCGAGCACCCACAGCTGGCTGTAGGACAGTATCACAGACACCCTGCAGGAGTCCGGCTGGAGAGCGCACTCCATGATGGGGCACCACCTACAGTCCCTACGGAGTCGCTGGGCAGGACAGAGACATGTGGAGAGAATGGGAAGGAGAGGGAGAGATGGAGGGAAGGGAGAGGGAAGAGCCGGAGGTTTGCAGACGTTCTTCTCCAGGGCGGACCAGGCAAGCCGCAGTGCTGGAGGCCCCCTGATTCTCTAGCTGCTTTCCCTCGGGCCTGGGAGACTGCAGAGGGACCACCATGACTCACGGCCTCAGACAGCTGGGCTCTTCGGACTTCACCATCTGGCTTTCAAAGTGGAGCTCAGCTCCTGGTTAGGAGCAGGGGCAGCTCCCAGGGCTACCCAGACACGTCAATCATCCACCCAGGATGACCTGAATGACTGTTAGCTCCAAAAATTATTTTGGGGGCACTTTAACTGTGGCCTTATTTGCCAGGTGGCACTCCTATTTAATGAGACACAAAAACGTACCCAGGGTTATTAACCAGACCTAAGAGAAGACCTCGAGGAAGGAGAAGCATACACCCAGGGGACGTGGGAGAAGGCTCTGCCTAACCTGCTGTGAGGCCCACCACACCCTCTCACCAACCATCAGCCAAACGAAAGGGCAGTTGCTTTCTGGGATTTTAGTTGGGTTGGCCTTAAACTACTAAAGGTCTTTCTTCTTGGAAAAACCATTTTTTTTTCTTGCATCAATTCATTGAACTTTCCACGGCTGCACAGATACCAGAGCGGGCAGCCTGCCTCAGCAGCCCATCTCCCCATCACAGGTCACACTGTGGGAAAGAGGCTCTGCTGAGCTGCCGCTCTGAGGGTGCATGCGCGTCTTCCTGGGCGCCCTTGGCCCCAGCATGGCCCTTGGGGGCAGCTGGGATGGAGTCGATTACCGCCCTGCCACGGTCTCCCTCCCTCCGTGTTCTCACACCTGTGATCTCTGTTTCCCAAGACAGGGTGTGGACAGCCATGCCTGCTGAAGTCAGATGTCCTCTAGCAACCCCAGACAAGTCATCAGGGTCACCAAGTGCTCTGAAGGAAGTCCTTGGAAAATGCTTATTTTATAGGCTTCAAAATAAAAATCCACTCTGGCAGTTTTGTTGGAGAATATTCTCGTGGTGTGACGTTCAGATAGAAAACATATTTCCTCTGCCAACCCAGCCTCAGGGAGAATGGCCTCCTCCCTGCCGTCCCTCTGCCAGTCCCTGCCTGTAGAGAGCTGAATTTAGTTTGAGTGGGCACTCAGCTCCTTGCAGGGAGTGGGGCACTGGCCATGTCAAGTAGGAACTTAGGACGTACTCCAGATACGCAGAGGTGAGTGCTCAAAGTCCACAAAGCACCGTTTGGCATGGCCRCAGCACACAGGGCAGCACCCGGTCCTGGCACCTCCCCCACTTGAGGTGGGGAGCCCCACTGCTGAGTCAGCACTCTCGGGCTCTAGGCTCTCAGATGCCACCTAAAGCCCATCAGGCCACCACCACAGCCTCGGGAGCAATGTCCTTGGCATTGCTGGGCAGACCCTGGGAGGTCACCGTCACTTCCTGTGCACCAGGTCCCGTCAGTCAGCTCACCTGGAGAAACGGTGCTGTGCAGTTCCCGGGCAGCACRTCAATGCCCAGAGCATGCATTTCTAGAGTCCAGCACCTTCGGTTACYGGCCACACTGCTCCAACAGGGGAGGAGGGTGCAGACGCACCGTGGGCAGCTCTGGACTTCGACTCCTGCCTTCGGATCCCAGGGAATGCCCAGCACCGCCTTGCGCCCCMGGAGTGTCTGCCTCACTCGTGGGCTATTGTGGGCGGTGGTGGGAGGGAAGACTCTCTACGTAGCTTCCTTGTGGCGTGGTCCAGAGAATCACTTAGCCCAGGAGAAAATCACTGACCACTGGGGTGTTAGGAAGGAAGGCAGCCTACTGCCCGGAAGAGCCAGCGTGCCTGGCTGTCTTAGCGTTTCTGCTGCCAAGAGGGCAATCCTGTCCTCCGGGCAGACTTGCCCTAGGACAGCAGTATCCACTGGTCCTGGATATGGACGCCTGGGYACTGGCGGCACATTCCTGGAGACTTCTGCTCTCTTCCACACACACCAGGTCTTCAAGACCTTCTGAGAAAATCCAAACACTGGCCCTTCAAGGGTCATTTTCTGAGTGAGTGCCAACTGTCTGAGGGGCACCTCTCCTGTGTCTCCTGGAGGAATGTCCTCAAAGCCACGTAGACCCACGTGCCAGGAGGTAGGCCTGGAGCAGGGACTGTGTAGCCCTGGGGCCTGGCTGGGGGGCTGGACAGGTCTGGGATGGAGTCCTGCTCTGCTYATCCTGGACAAATTACTCAAGCCCTCTGACCCTCAGAGTGTATCTCCAGCACAGAGAGACAGCAGGGTGTCCCTCCAGGGATCTTCTGGGGACGAGTGAGCTGTTGGGCCACCTGGGGTCAACACGGGGTGTGTGCCTCATGGTGCTGTGGCCTGCATCAGCAGGCTTGAAGGACAGGTGAAAAAGCAGACTGATGATAAACAGATAGATACCAATGGATAGATGATAGACAGCAAGAAAGATGATTGACATGGGTCAAGATAGCTGGGGAATCACAGAGAGTGACCAGATGAAGATGATAGGAGATGATAGACAGATGAGACAGATGACAGACAGATGGCTCATGGATAGATGAGAGGTGGCAGATTGACAGGTGGGTGTTCTAGATTACTACCATTTCAGCACCCTGACAAGATAACCCTGCTGAAGAACCGCAGGAGCCTCCCCGGGGACCGCCAGTCCTTGGTCATGGCGGAACTTCAGCGCAGGACCAGCTTAGAAGGTGGGTGAACTGCCTACGGGCCTCAGCAAGGCAGGACCGCACACGCAYACTGGACAGCCTGCTCTGAAAGCCTCAAGCCTCTGCTGCAGTCTGCACCACTCTCTGCGCTGTGTCAGGGCAAAAGGACAGGTCTCTGCACCTTACCTTTCAGGATGGGGCAGATCTTCCAGACGCCGGCAGCCCCTTCCCTGTTGAACTGCCCAAGGGCTAGCTCCATGTAGAAGAGCGGCATCCCAGCAATGACCATGAAGAGCAGGTAGGGCACCAGGAAGGCACCTGTGGACACACACGCCTTGGCTGCGGTGTGGAAGGGGCTGCTTGGCTTCCTCTGGGCTCTCACTGTCCCAGACTGAGCGTGGCCATTTGTACCCAGTGGCCTTTCTGGGTACAAATGAGGATCGAGTCTCAGATATGGTGGACAGCCTGCCTCCACACCTGTTGCCCACTATTTCCAGTGCCTCAATATGTCCCTCCAGAATCCCTGKTCACCCCCAACCCACACGATGACATCAAACCTATGGCAGAGCCGGACAGCCCTGCCCACTCTTGGTTTGGCTCCCACTGCAGGCCTGGCCCCTCCCTGGTCCAGATCCATTTACCTTTCAAGATCTGGCCCCAGCACCCCCTGACCCTCCCCAGGGCCTGGCACTCGGAGTCTGCCTCTACTGCAGGCCACCGCTGAGGTCCTTGCTGCCAGGAGCTGCCCAGGGGCCAGGACCCCTCGGGTGGGCCTGGTTCCCTGCACCTATGCCCTCTATCTCCCCCTCGAAGGCCTGGGCCCTGTGCAGGCCTCCTAAGTCCCTCTTACTCCCCCCCAGGCTGACCTCTGTAAGGGAGGGCTTTGCCACGGCTCCCTTCTGGCCCGTGGAGAGGTGTGGAGACCCCTCGGCTCCGTCTTGGGACACTTACTGCTCAGGCCTTGGGCTTCTGTCTTCAAGATGGACATCTTCAAGACTTCCTCAAGAAGTCTTGCCCTGCCCTTCCTATGTCTGGAGGATCCAAGCAGGGAGGCCAGGGGACGGCCCCCAACGGGGACGCATGGGGAGGAGCGCCCCTTGACTTGGCTGCTCAAGGGAACTTTTCAGGTGACCTGCCCCATCCCAGCCTGCTGAGTGCCATGCAGTCAAGGGTCTATGGCTGGAWGAATCCAGAAGTGAGGGCAGGGCCACTGGAGGCCCCCATTTCAGGGCATCATCTGCCCCTCCAAGTTCAAGTTCTACATACTTTTAAACACTATCAAGCCATTTTTTGGCCCTTGGAGAATTTTTCCAAAGTGAAAACAACCACTGGAAACAGAGGACAGGGCCAAGGTGCCTCCACCTACTTCCTCCTGGTTGCCTCTTTTTGGGCCTCGTTTTTCTCAGCTGTTAAGATGCAGAGCAGAACCAGACTCTGTGTTCCTCACCCGGGAGAGCCTGCACCAGCTGCATCTCCTGCGCCTGGGACAGCGTGCACCTGCTGCATCTCCTGCACCTGGGACAGCCTGCACCTGCTGCATCTCCTGCACCTGGGACAGCCTACACCTGTGCCCAGGAGAGCCTGCAGCACTGCATCTCCTGCACCTGGGATAGCCTGCACTGCTGCACTGCTTGCATCTGGGACAGCGGGCACCCACTGCATCTTCTGCACCTGGGATAGCCTGCAGCACTGCATCTCCTGCACCCAGGACAGCCTGCACCCGCAATATCTCCTGGAGAGCCTGCACCCACTGCATCTCCTGCATCTCGAACAGCCTGCAGTGCTGCATCTCCTGCACCTGGGACAGCCTGCAGCACTGCATCTCCTGCGCCTGGGAGAGCCTGTACGACTTCATGCTCTGGTACGAAGCAGCCCTGTCTCCACCAGGAGGAGAGCATAATTTTGCCAGTGAGCATGTGTTCCCTAAGAACACTGCTCCCTGCTGCCCTGTGGCTCAACCTGGCAGAAGGAACCGGGCCCCAGATGGCACTTACCTCCACCATTTTTGTAGCATAGGTAGGGGAACCTCCAGACATTGGCCAGGTCCACTGCAAAGCCGATGACCGAGAGCAGAAAGTCGATCTTCTTGCCCCAGGTCTCCCGCTCCTGGGCCTCCTCAGGGCTCCGTGGTGGGTTGATCAGCGTGGAGTTCGTGAGCTGCACCCCGTTCTGCTCCTTGACCAGGATGAGTTCCACGTCCCTGGGGCCCATGGCATTGGGCTCCTTAGCCGGGGCCACCACGGGGGCCATGGGTCCCACGGAGCATTTGCTCTTACTCATGGGAAGACTGGAGCCTAGGGATTCTGTGCTTTTTCCTCTTGGTCTTCAGCCAACATGAAAAACAGAGAAACGCACTGGTGTGGTAGCAGGTTGACAGTGTGCGTCAAGAGCAGAGACCTGAGGCAATTGTGCTGCCTTGGAAGGAGCAAACACATTCCAAGCTCCTAGGATGACATGATGGTGCTCAGGAGAGGTGGAGACTCCAGATCTCTTTGGGGGTCACAGGGGGAACCAGCCATGGAAACCCTAAGACAGACCTGCTGATGTGCCTCCTCCCCCACCCCTCACCTGTCAAGCACAAGGCTTAATTTGCTTTCTGATAACCATGCACAGATGTTCTGTCCCTTCTCCACATTCCCAGGGAGTCATCCCATAGTCTTAAAGAGCGCCAATAGAAGGTCTCTGTAACAGCATTATGCATTCTTTATACCAGGTAATAAAACAAAGAGCAAAATTTATATAAACAGCCACACTAACTAAACATTTAAAAAATAATTACAACCACTTGTTCAAAGAACATCTGTATTATTCAAAGTCCATATCCACCTGTGCCCAGGGGCTTCTCCATGTCTATCTGCCCAGGGCTTCCTGTGCCCTACCTGAGCTGCACGGAGGATTGATGGTGCAGGACTTCACCCAGGGTGGGGCAGCTGCCACACAACCCCTTAAGAGGGAAATGGCTCTCAATTACTTCCGCAAAGCCCTGGGCAGAGTGGAGGAGGGCTGAGCACTGACACATGGACAGCCTGCAGACCTCAGCATTGTTCCCACTGTGCACAGACACTGAGTAAGCCTGGGCAGCAGGGTGACCGCTCTAGTGGGGTAACTTTCCCCTGCACCCAAAAGCAGACGCCTGACAGACGTTACTGTGTGCACCACTTCTCTGTGGCCTCTTCCCTGCAGGGACAGACCCATCCCTCAGGTTCTCGAAGAGCCACGGGGGTGCAGCGCAGCAGTGGGACTGCAGCAGTGGTCAACAGTTGGGGGAGGGTGGGAGGTGCGAATAGCACAGAGGCAGCCCCTTTAGTTCCTTGCAGGTGGGCGCACCAGGGCTCTCCTGCTCACCAAGTGGTGCTCAGCATCGGGAAGGATCCATCAGAGGCCAGACTTGAGCCAAGAGGGCAAAATGTGGCCTCTGAGACGGCATCTTTCCTTCTTCCGCTGCCCAGGTCAGGAAGCAGCTCCATGATAGGCTCTGTTCGCCCCCCTCCCCACTGTGGTTCCCTGCCAAAGTGGCCTGGGAGCTTGGAGTCGCAACCCGCGTCCTGGCCCCATCTTACAAATCGGACAAAAACCGCGGGAGATGAACCACCTCACGGATGGAGTCAACCACCTCGATGGGACGTGGGTTCGCGTGGCCAGTTCCGCCGACCCCAGGTGTGTCAGGTCCCTCGAGGCGGAGCGGGCGCCCCAGCCGCAACCACAGACAGCCGCGTGTCCCGGGAAGCCGGCGACCTCAGCGCCTGCCCACCGGGTCCGCACTCCGCGGGCGGGGCGGAAGTCCCCTCTGGGGGGAGGGCCTTAGGGTCTCCCATTTCACCGCCAGACAGCGCTCGGCACCCGCGACTGGTGGCGACTTTCGCAGACCGCTCTGTCCCCTGGTAGCGGAGTCCCCGACGGACATCGCTCGCCCTGCTGGGCTCCCGGCGGCCCAGCTCGGGATCTGTGGAGTGAGMGGCGCGCCCGCCCGGAGGATGCTAGGGGCCGCCGGTGCCGGGAGCGACCCGGCCCTTACCTGCCTCTGGCCCTCGGCTACAGCTCGTTCAGGTCTCAGCAGGTAGGTCCGCGGAAACTCCAGCTCAGCGCCACCGCACTGGGCGGCCGCAGCCCCGGGCTCTTATCTGGTCGCGGGGTCCGCCTCGCCCCGCCCGCCGTCGGGGCCCCCGCCCTGGCTCCGCCTCCTCGCCTGCCCGCCCCGGGTGGGCGGGGGACAAGCTAGGGCGGCGCCCCCGCCCCTCCAGGGCACTGATAGCCCGGAGGAGCCTGCTGCCACCGCTCGCAGGCTGCAGATCGAACCGCCTRGATCTGGCGTGTCCTGAAGCCTGGGACGCGTGGGAGAGGGGTGCACCTTTGGGTCCGATGAGTCTCTGGGAGACCCGCGGCTGTCAGGCAGGAGTTGCCTGAGTCTACCTTCCACCGTCGCCGGCACCCCCAGTGCTGCCCCACACACCGGTGCCTGCCCTGGGGGCTTCCTGGGCTAACCTGTCCTGCCAGGTCCCGGAGAAGCAGGAGACCAAAGGGAGGGAGCCGCGGGTACGCCAGGAACTCCACGGAGCGGCTGAGGGTCAGCCCCACCACGCCGACCCCCAGCGAATCTTCCGCTTCTCCGGATCCCCACCCTGATTCTCCGCGACTCCCACCCTAACCTTCTGCCTGCCCCTCCGGTCCTCGCGCTGACATCTCCAACTCCCTCTCTGGGAGGCGGTGCCGCCTGCGGTCGGGTGGCTGGGTCTGGAGGTGGTCTTCTGCTGGCTTCTCCAGCCTCAGGGGCGACGTGGGCCCTGCCTGCCGGGGTCAGGACCCTGCCGCAGGGCTCTTTCGGGCCACGTGMCCTGGCCTAGGAAGTGAGGTCCGGATCCTCCACCCACCTACTGCGGTTCRTCCTCCTGTGGCCCCCAGCCAGGCCCCAGTGTAAGGCCAAGTTTTCATGACCAGGCAGGAGCTCAGCCTCCTGGCTCTTGGCCCGAAGCAGGGGCGCAGGGATGGGCACCAGGGGCCTCAATCAGTCTCCTGCTAAACATTTCCCAGGACAGGTGGCGAAAGCCTGGATGTCGAGGTCCAGCTCCCGGCTCCAGGAACCAAAGGACTCTGAGGAGTGCCACCAAGCAAGACCCAGGACCACCAGGCATGGAGAAGGTGCCAGGGTGAGTGCCCAGCCCCACTTCTGCACCTGCACCCTGTAGGTGGCCAAAGCTCAGGCCTTCCCCCCAGGTGCACCTTTATTTTCCCCAATATGAGTCACTGAAAGAGGGTTGCCGAGGGCTCTCCCCACACCTCAGCCTGCACACTCCCGCTGAGCTGCTGAGCTGCATAGCGCAGTGTCCCTTTGTGCCTGGACTCCAGAGTGCTCTTGCTCCTCACCTCCCCTCTGTGCCCCCAACCCTGAGGTCCCACTGTCTCCCCACAGCTTTCCAACTACAGGGCAGGGGCCAGGCGAGAAGCTCCCCCGAGCAGCTCCTCCAGGCTGCGTGAAAACCAGGAGGAAGGGGCTCTGTCTCAGTTCATCAAGGGCTGCTGGAACAGAAACGTCACAGGTGGGGGGTGGGGGGACACGGGGAACGGGGGGCGGGGGGGGGGACAACCTCTGTTCCTCACAGCACTAAGGCAGGGGTCCTGAGCCACGGGCTGCACTGCAGATCTGCCACCTGCCAAGGGCTGCCTGGGGCTCCAGGGTGTTCTCTGGTGACTCCTCAGGCAAGCGGGGACCAAGCTTCCCAGGTCCTATTTTATTGGGGCACAAATCCTGTCCCTGAGGGTGGACCCCAGGAGACCCTCATCCTGAAGATCCCCCTCCTAGTACCATCACAAAGGGGATAGGATTTCCACCCCTGCCTTTGGGAGGGCACATTTCAGTCCCTGAAACGTGGAGAAGTGATGTGCCACCGTCACCAGGGGAGGGGCCCCTCTGCTTGTGCATGGTCAATAATAGCTTCCAGAGGAGGGGCGAGCCCAGGATGGGCCTAACCAACAGGCTAAGAAGACAAATGCTCACCAGGGACGAGGTTCTGCATATCATCAAGGGAGGTCATTTAAGTAAGGAACATGGGGTAGATGTCATGTGCAGCTGCCACACAAAACACACAGCCAAGCCACACGTGGGAAGGGATCATGAGCCCTGCAGAAGGGCCAGACCAGGACCCAGACCTCCCAGGGCATTTGGAGGAGGGAGCATATATGGGAAGGGGGCAGCCTCTTCCACTGATGCGTCACATGCAGACAGAATATGCCAGTCACGCTGGTGCAGCTCAGGGTGGCATGAAGGGAGCCCGTGTCACCTGCACCCAGATTGAGAGAGAGCACCCACCCCCAGAGCCCTCCACTCCCGCTGCACCTGGCTTCCAATCGCTTGAAGCAGGACACAGGAGCTTTGGATGTTCTTGGAGCACAGTAACCCTGGGGGCTGGGCCCTCAGCCAGGCCACAGAAGACAAAGAGCAAGAGCYTGCGTGTCTCCATCCTCTGCAACAGGAGGGCTCCCTGGGCTTGCACAGGTAGACCAATGGGGTTGGTTATGAGTTGATTAAACCTGATTAAGTGGCCGACCTTTGCATGTCTGGAACTTTGCCCTAAATGTCAAGCTGGCTTTGTTATGGCTGCCGTGGCTGCTGTCAGCTCAGGGCACTGGACGGGAGCAGGCAGAGCTGCAGAGCAGAGTTGCTTCCTGCTGGCTCTAAGAGCAACCTCCCCTTGCTGGGGACCAGCCACCATCCCCAGGGGAGCCCATGTTACCGAATGGAACTTCCAACACAGCCTTGCCCATGGCTGCCCCCAGCCTTGGGTCCTGTCCACCCTGGGGAGCTTCATGCTGTTGCCCTGCAACCTGACCCAAAGCTGACTCCACGCCTGACCCAGAAGGCTGCCTGGGCATAGGCTGGTGCTGGTGTCAGGGTTACAGCCTCAGGATTTCTGGGAGGCTGAAATGGTAGACTCGCTCTGTCAGAGCTTCAGGAAAGGATCTGGGTTCTGCTGAGCAAATGGAGGGGTGAGCCTCTCCTGGTTTTACTGCAGTTCAAGTGAAGACAGATGAACAGAAAGAGCCAGGTGCAGGATCAGCCAATCACAAGAGCCAGGCTGTCGGGAGCCCCCAGGAGGCTGGGGCTGCAGACACCAGGCTCTCCTTCACCTCCAGAGGACCGGGGGCCCACCTGTSGCACCATGTTGGTGATGAGTTGGTCTCTGGAGAGACTGTACCAATGTGTAAGTGAGGCAGGTCACTATGACAAAGGACCACCCATGGGGGAGGGGTGGGGGCTTGGACAGCACTCATCCTCTCAGTCCTGGGGCCAGAAGCTGAGACCCAGGTGTGGGCAGGGCTGGGTC